TTTCTTATGGCGAAAATATCCCAAGAAAAGAGTCTGGAAATGCTAATGTTTTAGAATCAGGCTTTGGAGTTTTTTCAGAAGATTTCAGAATTGTGAGTCTGAAACAATTTTTTGAAGAAAAAAATTTAACTGGGCAGAGCGGGTGGGGGGGTGGGGAGAAGGGGTAAAAAGGGCCACTGGGAAATCAATCACAAAGGGAAAGGAAGTAGTGGATGGGGTTGGGGCCAACACTGAAATGACAGCCCAAAGGGGTTGGTGGCAGGTGGTGGATTTAACCCCGGTTTGTGAATATGCTGGTCATAGTTTTAGGCCATTGACCCCCAGAGTCGTCTCCTGCGTGCCTGCATCTTTTCCTACAAAGTAATGGAGGCCAAATGCGGAAAACAGAAGGAACAGGCTGTTTGACTTTGTGGATCTCTAAGCTGCTGCAGAAGCATCAGATTCTCTCTCCCAGGAGGGTTCTGAAGAGGCAGCAGGCACGTGGCTCATGGTCTAAATTCAGCACACAGTACAAAGGCAGTGGGGGAGGGCTGGCAGGTGGGTGGTGCAGGACTGGGAGGGGGGGAGAAGGGACTGGCAAACTTGGAATCGGGCTTACACAGGCATGCTTAGGAACGTCTCTCCATTTACCCTGTTTGGTTTACCTCCCCTTCTTATCATACCCTGTGCCCCATCAGATTTGTGTCTGTTTAAAATCCAGCCCTCTGTGTCAGACTCAGCCACTGCTCTCAGCCATCCAGGCCTGATGTCCTGTTTCCAGCTTGGGTCTGGTTGGGGTGATTCACAAGAAGTCCCAGGAGAGGGAGAGGGTGCACAAGCAGGGTCTGTTACTCTTTGCAAAGATGGCTAGGAAGAAATACTGCTGCTGTGAGTAGTGTTGCTCGAATTGACCCTAAGGAGAATGTATTTTCATCCATTATGGTAGAGTATCAGAGAGGGCTTAAATAAGCCCAGGAATAACACATGAGACTTCTCCTTCAGCTAACACAGCCATTGCTCAGCCAAAGACATCCCACTACTTTACACTGACCTCATGTATTCTTACTTCAGGGGAATTTTACAATGAAGAAAACTCAGATCCTGATTTGTGTTTGTTTTTTTTTTTTTGAGACAGAGTCTCACTTTGTTGTCCTCGGTAGCGTGCCATGGCATCATTGCTCACAGCAACCTCAAACTCCTGGGCTCAAGCAATTCTTTTGCATCAGCCCCCGTGTACCTGGGACTACAGGCACCCACCAGAACGCCCGCCCAGCTATTTGTTTTTGCAGTTGTCATTGTTGTTTAGCAGGCCCGGGCCGGGTTTGAACCTTCCTGCCTCCGTGTATGTGGCCAGCGCCCCAACCACTGAGCTACAGGGGCCAAGCCCTGATTTGTGTTTTCATTTCTTTAGTTTTTTAGGATAAGCTCCTAGAGGTGGAAGGGACCTCATTTACTAAGCCCCTAAAATTGACCAGGTCCTGGGGCTACATTATTTCCTATAATGTCCTCTTTAATCCTTATTACAGTGCTATGAGGGAGTTATTATTGCTCTCATTTGCAGGTGAGGAAACAAACTCAGTGAACTAACTCAGGTTACATAGCTGTAACAGTGAAGTCTGAGTTCAAATTCAGACCCACAAAGATTCTAAAATGTGGTAGTGCCCATACCTCAGTGGGTAGGGGGCCAGACACACACCGAGGCTAGTGGGTTCAAACCCAGCCTGGGCCAGCTAGGGCAACAATGACAACTGCAACAAAAAAAATAGCTGGGCGTTGTGGTGGGCACCTGTAGTTACAACTACTTGGGAGGCTGAGACAAGAGAATCACTTGAGCCCAAGAGTTTGAGGTTGCTGTAGACTGTGACACCATAGCACTCTACTGAGGGTGACATAAGACTCTGTCTCAAAAAAAAAAAAAAGATTTTAAAATGCATATTTTTTTCCAACATACTTTGCTTTAACAATCATGGAGGCCAGGTGCAGTGGCTTTGTGCCTCTAATCCTACCACTCTGGGAGGCTGAGGCAGGTGGATCATCTGATCTCAGGAGTTGAGATCAGCCTGAGCAAAATCAAGACTCCCATCTCTACTAAAAAAATAGAAAAATTACTGAGGCATGCGCCTGTTGTCCCAGCTGCTTGGGAGGCTGAGGCAAAAGTATTACTCAAGCCCAAGTGTTTGAGGTTGCTGTGAGCTATGACACCATGGCATTCTACTGGAGCTACAGAGAGACATACGCTGTTTCCAACTTCTGAGAACAAAACCAGGAAATGTCAGCACATGATGAGTGAGACATCTCAGCCTCAAATCTGTGAACCTATAGCTGAGAAGACTTAGGAACACCCAACACCATTGAAGTGAATTTAATTGATTAGGTCACAGCAGTTCTCAATCTGTGAGTCTCAACCCACAGGAACTGTATTAAAGGGCCATGGCATCAGGAAGGTTGAGAACCACTGTATTAGGACTAGCCAAATATGACTCAGACAGGTGAGGTGATACTTGCCTATACTAGAGGCTCTATTAATGAGATTTTTATCTTTCTGTAATACATGATAAAAAAGTGATTTTAAGTTAAAATAATTTATTTTATGTTATTTAGACAGAGTCTCATTTTGTCGCTCTCTGTAGGATGCTGTAGCGTCACAGCTCACAGCAACCTCAAACTCTTGGGTTTAAGTGATTCTCTTGCCTTAGCCTCCCAAGTGCCTGGGACTATTGGAGCCCACCACAAGGCCCGGCTATTTTTTTGTTGTAGTTGTCATTGTTGTTTAGCTGGCCAGGACTGGGTTCAAATCCACCAGCATTGGGTGTATGTAGCTGGCACCCTACCCACTGAGCTACTGGCACAACTCCAGCTTTTTTTTTTTTTTTTTGCAGTTTTTGGCCAGGTCTGGGTTTGAACCCACCACCTCTGGCATATGGAGCTAGCGCCTCACTCTTTTGAGCCACAGGTGCTGCCCCAGCCCTGGCTATTTTTTTTTTTTTTTAGCCCCAGCTATTTTTTTGTTGCAGTTATCGTTGTTTAAGCAGGCTTGGGCCAGGTTCCAACCCGCCGGCCTCGGCGTATGTGGCCGGTGCGCTAAGCACTGAGCAACCAGTGCTGAGCCACACCCAGCTATTTTTAGAGACAGGGTCTCACTCTAGTACAGGCTGGTCTCAAACCAGTGAGCTCAGGCAATCCATCTGTCTTGGCCTCCCAGAGTGCTAGGATTACAGGTGTGAGCCAGCACACCAGGCTATTTATTTTTGAGACAGAGTCTCATTTTATCACTCTGGATAGAGTACAGTGACATCATAGCTCACAGCAACCTCAAACTCTTGGGCTCAAGTGATTCTCTTGCCTCAACCTGCCAAGTAGCTGAGATTATAGGTGCCCACCACAACACCTGGCTATTTATTTATTTTTTAGAGACAGAGTCTCAGTTTATGGCCCTTGGTAGAGTGCTATGGTGTCACAGCTCACAGCAACCTCAGCCTCAGAGCTACTTGGGAGACTGAGGCAAGAGAAATGCTTAAGCTTGGCTCGGTGCCTGTGGCTCAAGTGGCTAAGGCGCCAGCCACATACACCTAAGGTGGCAGGTTC